AATTATCTGGACAACTAAAAATATATAGAAAAAATTAGCCGGGCATGGTGGCGCATGCCTGTAGGCCCAGCTATTCGGGAGGCTGAGGCAGTAGGATCACTTGAGCCCAGGAGTTTGAGGTTGCTGTGAGCTAGGCTGACACCACGGTACTCACTCTAGCCAGGGCAACAGAGCGAGACTGTGTCTCAAAAAAAAAAAAGTTATTTAGGAGAATCATTAAAATAAACGTATTAAACATTCTAATTGCTAATCCGTTTATACAGATTGTTAGCTCAAACTTTTTTCTACAATGTACTCTACTGATTACCTTGAAATATCAGTATGTGTTTGGTAGAGCAAGGATACGAGGACACCTCATTCAGAAATAATACAGCAATACAGCTATGGTTTGAGAATTTTTTATATGAAGAAAAATAACAAAATTTCTTAGGAGTTGTGCAAATATAGCGACAAATTCTTTGTCACACTCCCTCATCAACGATTCACCTCTTCCATCCCTTGAATGTGGGCTGCACTATGACTACTCTAATCCACAGAATTTGGAGGAAATGATGCTGTGTCAGTTCTCAGATTCTCTCTTAGAACGTTAATCCTTAGAATCCAGCTAACTTTAAAGAAGCACAAGACACCCACAGGGAGAGACCACCTATGGCAAGACAGAGGTCCCAACGCTCTAGCCATCCCCACCTAGGTGCCAGACATGTGAGTTAAGCCATCTTAGAAGTTCTACACAGCTGCATGAGAAATTTCCCATCAAGAAAGACCAACAGAAGAACCATCTATGTGATCAATCCACAGAATCATAAGAGTATGTGGCTGTTGTATTAAGCCACTGTTCTGAGTGATTTGTTACACACAACAATAGTTGACAAAATAAAAATTAACATAGACAATAAGCTCACTTAATCACATCACAAAAAAACATTTGTATTTCCAGGTAATTTTCTTGTCATTAAATCTGTCTTAAAAACATCTCAGAATGCTTTGAATTTCTTAGTATTTCATGTAATCTTTATAGATATGCATAGATGCATGATATCAATGTGCTTACAGAAAAAGGAAAATGATTTCTGGATTGACAGCATTAAAGGTGATAATTCTCTCTCTCTCTCTCTCTCTCTCTCTCTATTTGTTTGTTTTTTTAGAGAGGGGATCTTGCTATGTAGCCCAGGCTGGTCTCAAACTCCTGGCCTCAAGCGATCCTCCCACCTCAGCCTCCCCAGTAGCTGGGATTAGAGGCATGAGCTATCACACCCAGCTCTAAACGGTGATAATTCTCTTAGATACAAAAATGTTTGGATTAAATATATAATTCTAGATTATCATCGAAAGAAAGAGTTAAATGCTTTACAGGTTATCCATATAGTATATGAGTCAATATACTTTGAGGTCAATTTTCTATATAAGATTATAATATGAAGCCATAAAAACAATAGAAATATGTCTACTATCTCCAAAATTAGAGTTTTAGGAATAATATCCCTAAAGCCAAATACTTTACTTTAGGATTATATGTTACTGTTCTCTTCCAAAAGCACAGATACTCAAGCATTAACTGTGTTTAATTTAGAATTGGGTTAAGAAATTATATAAACCAAACACCAATTAATAATTCTCAAAGGTTTAAACACATATGATCTTTTCTTCCCATAAAATCTCAAGTGAGTACAATTTAAAATTACCATGCAAGCCTCCATTAAGGCAGTGTGCATCTCATCCGTTTTGTGCTCTTGATCTGCACCAGCTTCAAGTAGAAAGCGAACCATATCCAAATGGCCTTAAAAAAAAGAATAGAATTTTTAAAAGAATTGATTATCAATTTAACACTTACTTAAGTATTGAAATCTGGAATCTTTTTCTTTCAGATATCTATGCAAAAAGTTATGAGAACTTATTCTATATTCAGTAAATAAATCAGTAACAGTTTTACAAAGCCAATTCAAAACAATAAGCAGGCTCTCATAAGTCATATTATATAGGTTTTAAAGGCTAAATTAGTCCAAAGCACGTAAGTTAAGTAAAGCAATAATGCTTTTTCCTTGATTTAATCTACATAAATTATTTATCAGATCAAACAGAAAGCTAACTAAAGTATCTTTGGATCATATTTTCCAGAAAAACAGCTTTAAAACAATCATAAACTCACTGTGGCAATGAGCAGGCACAGAAAACTCCATTTAAAATAATTCTAGTTCTAAATATACATTTAACATATTATATATACAACCTTAATAGTTGATAAGAAAAAGATAAACACTCCAGTAGAAAGAAAAATGAGTGAATGATATGAAATGGTAACTCAGAAAAGAAATGCAAATGAATATTGAACTGATAAAAAAGATATTAAACCTTCCTACTAAAGAAATGCAAATTAAAATAAGACACCATGTTTTTTACTATCAAAATGACAAGTATTAAAAAGAATGCTAATACTCAGTGTTGACAAGGGTATAGGATTGGGTAAAGGGCACTCAAACACTGCTGGTGGGAGTGTGAATTGGTTCCACCTTTCTAGAAGGCAATTTGGCAATATGTATCAAAAGTCTTAAAACTATCCATACCCTTTGACCCAGTAATTCCACTTTCAGGAATTTATCCTAAGGAAATAATCAGAGATTACTCAAAAATGTCTACACAAGAATGTTATCACAGTGTTTTTAATAATAGTGAAAAACTGGAAACAATTCAAATGTCCAACAAGAGGCAATTATGGTGCATCTATTTGATGTATTTGGCAGAGACTGCTAGTTCCCTACTCAAAATCTATGCTCTTATTCTTTCTTAGTAACAGAACTCTGATTCTATATGGGTGGCAATATGCCTGACTAAAACACTACATTTCTCTGCCTCCCTTCCAGCTAACTGTAGCCAATGTGTTAGATATTAAGTGGGAGTTACAAGGTGGAGCTTCTAAAAAGACTCTTTAAAGGGAGCTTACTAAATTGGAAGGCACTCCTTATTTTACCCTTATCTTCATCATCATTCCTAGAATATGGTTTGCTGGGGCCCTAGCCACCATCTTGGTTTATAGGTAACCTTAAGGACACTAGGATGGTGGAGTAGAAAAACAGAATTCTAAAATCTTGATGACAATGGAACTGCCATCCTGGCCCTAAATGGCTTAATCTTGGACTTCTCTTTTGTTCAAATCATTATGAATTTAGGTTTTGAGACATATGCAGCCAAATCTAATCCTAACTGAAATAGTGAAATACTACATGATCATCAAGATCATGTATTTGTAATTGTGTTACAAGAATATTTATTGAGATGAGAAAGTATTCATGATACATTGCTAAGATAAGCAGACTTTTATAGTGTTAGAAGTAAATAAATTTTAGTGTTTAAGCATTAGAAAAAATCATATAAAACAGAAGTTATTAAATAATGGAAAACCTCTAAATCTGTGCTAAGTGGTTTGATTTACTTCATAGATAATTGAATAAATCTGAATGAAAATAATAAAGAAACACAGACTGAAAAACTATACTATAGGTAATAAAGGCTATTAATAAAATGACCTTTCTAAATAATCTCTTATAAACTAGATAATTTTATAGCACAGGAA